AAGAGTTAGAGACCTGGTCTGAATTGTGTTATTAGGCATGGCCTCAATGCTACCAGTTTTTGTTCTTTATTTTGTTTATATTTTCTTATATGTCAAAAACTCTTAAATTTGAGATACAAAAATATCTTCTCATTTTAAATTTTAGCCACTTCAGGTAGCATTTTTACATGAACTGTGTTTGATGAACAAGGCATTTTACCACTGAATGCTTTCAAAAGTGATGATATTGAAATGATGTCTTCACCTTTAGCAAATGATGCTGATAGTGGGAGTTCATATTATAGAATGTAAGAGGACAAAGTATTTGAGTTTGACACTTTTGCTCTGTGAGAGGCTCATAAATATTTAGGCTTAAAATCATTCTGGGAATTTATACATCATTCTGGGAAATCCTAGTAGAAAGTATAGTCTAAAAAGACCTAGGGTGGCTACAACATCACTTCTCTGAGAAATGTTAACTTGAGAAAATAATAGGCACACTGGATTGTCTTGCCTAAAGGGTAAACGCAGCGGAGGCAGAATGCTGGCATTACATCCCAACCTTTCTAACTATCTGGGTGACCTTGGGCAGTTCACCTCACCTCTCTGAACCTTGGTTACTTCCTATTCTGTAAAAGGGAAAGCCTTCTAGGCTGCTGGGAGGAGTACTTGTTAGTGCAGCTAAAGGTGCATCATCAGCGGACAGTAATAACTGAATCTAAATGAACTGTCAGCTCTTTTGTCACAAAGGTTACTCAAGAAACTGAAGTGCATGTTAAGGAAGTTACCACCATGCAGTCGGACTTGGGAAGGGTTCCCTGACTTGGAGAGAGAGCAAAGAGAGCTGAGTAACAGTAAGGGGAACTTCATTTTATGATGGGCTCCACTGATTGCTGCTGTAAGGAGGGGCAGCTGGCTCTGGGCCAGTTGCCAATCTTTGGTTCTTGGGAGGATCTTCCTCCCTAGCACTTTCCATTCTGCAGGAAGCAGGGTACTTTGACACACTAAAACGAGAATTTCTCTTCTCTGCAGATCCACAAGGGATGGCAGGAAGCAACCCCCATAGCTCAAGACTAATTCCTGGGAACCCTTAAGAATGCCCAGTTTAGCTGTATTGCAACACAGAGGAATACTCAAAGTGAAGCAGTGGCAAGTGTTTTGTTAAGCCTTTTTTTTTTTTTTTTCAGTAAGAAAATGTGATAGAAATTTTTGCTTGTGAGGAAGAAAGTTTTCTCTTTCTTGGGAGTGAAGTTGGTTTTGTGGTAATTACCACTAAAGACAACGGTTCATTTTCATGCAGAAAATGTGATAAAGTCCAGAACAGAGCTCAGCTTTGATGTCAGAAAGAGGTGTGATGATATCTGTGTCTCTGGGTGAGAACCCCTTAGTGCTTTTATAGGTGTGAAATGTTACTCTTCAAAAGCTAACAGTAAATTTTGAGACTTGCACCAAGTTTTTTTTTTTTTTTTTTTTTTTTAAATCAGGTTTACTCTAGATAGGAAGATATTCATGTTAATAAATTGCTGTATTTGTTTTTAGGGGATCATGTAGTTCCTTATTTGGGATAACACATTTCTTATGTTGTTTCCATATCTTGGCTACTGTAAATAGTGCTGCAATAAACATAGGAGTGCAGGTTTCCTTTTGAATTATTGTTTTTGTGTCCTTTGTGTCAATTCCTAGGAGTAAAATTGCTGGACCATATGGTAGATCCATTTTTTCGTGTTGTGGGGAACCCCATCACAGCTTTTCATAGAGGCTGGACCAGTTTATAGTTCCACCAGCAGTTTAAGAGGATTCCTATATCTCTATATCCTCTCCAGCATTTGTTGTTTCCTTTTTCTTTTTTTTTTTTTTTAATATGTGCCATTCTTACTGGAGTGAGGTGGTATCTCATTGTGCTTTTGATTTGCGTTTTCCTAGTAAATAGTGGTGCTGAACATTTTTTCATATGCCTGTTGGCCATTTGCATTTCTTCTTTGGAAAAGTCTTTTTAGTTCTTTAACCCTATAGATACATTTTAAGTGGGAGTTGATTGCAATTTATTTATTTTTTTGAGCAATTTATTGAGAATTAGATTTTCCAGGTACACGGGAAACTATGCCTGGGGGAAGCTACCCCTTTGGAGAATGGTAGTTCTTGCCAGGCTAACAGCTAGTGTTTTTCCATATCTTATGCAATAACTACCTACAAAGTAGTCAAAGACATTTGCTAGATGCAGTAAAGCAACTGCTATTTTCAGCATCCAGTAATGTCTCAACTACATATTGGATGCTGTGGTTGGCCCTAGGGAGGCAAAAATAAAATTATTCATGGTTACCTTTCTCTCAGAGTATAAGCAAATAAGTGCTTTAGGCCAAATACTCAATGTGCTTGCTCTTAAAAGCAGAGATAGTGTTAAGTTTATTGTTACAGTGTCTGCATTCAGACCACTAGATTTTGACTCCTGTCTGCCTAGTTCACTTTATATCGGCTTCCATTGGCTTCTCTGACACTGGGTTTCCTCATCTATAAAATGGTCCAATAGCAGTCTTTACATCACAGGAGCGTTTGGAGGATTAATGAGATAATTTGTGTATGACTTGTGTTACATTGTTTGACATATAGCAAGACCCTGATAAATGTTAACTCCTATTATTTAAACAGTCCATCCAAAGTACCTTAGGAATTAAAGTGGTGGGAAATGCACTTTGAATTCCAACAACTCTGGACTATTTAGCATCATTTAAATTTGTGTCAGAAACAGTAGCTGAATCATCTTTAATATTTTACTTGTTATGAGTCTGAAAAGAGACAATGTGTGCAAAGTATTTGCACTTGGAATCTTGTAAGTGCTCAGTCAATGGTGATTATAAATGTATAGTCTGGCGGGTTTGAACTTGGTTTGGATCCAGATCTTCCCAGTTTTGTGTTTGTAAATAAGTCTCTTAAGTGCTTTGTGCCTCAGTTTCTTCATGGGTAAGATGTAAATAAGGACAGACTCTATCTTCTTAGCTGTGTTGTGAAGCAAAGTGTACTGCATGGAGCTTTGTACAGTGTACAGCTTTGTACAGTATTATTGTCATTTTTTCTGATCTGGCTCTCCAACATATATAGTGGCTAGTGAGAGTTAAGGGTTTTCCAGATGGAGTTCTGAGTGGCTGTGAGAACAATCTGTGTGGTACATCTGTGACCCCGCAGATTGCCAGGTGATCAGAGATCCGTGTGGCATTCGCTGCCCTCATGCTGTGCACATCCCTCCTGAGGCTGTGGGCTCTGTCCAAGAACATGACCTTCCTAGACAGGAGGTCAGCTCTGCAGGTGAAGAGAAAGGAGGTACTTCCTCCTATTAGAATCTACAACTACAGATTTAAGCATCTCTGTATATGTGTGTATTAGGTTAGTAAGACCATTGTAATCCATGCAGATGGAGTATAGGAGGCATGGTACAGAGTTGAAAGGGTGCAAGAGAAACTGAGAGGTAAGACTTATGCAATTTTCAGAATCCATATAACAGTACCATATTTTTTGGGTTATATTTAGATCAAGGTGAAAAATGAAAAAGGATGATGTTAACTTCTGTTGAGTCTTTTGAGTACCAGCTTAGTTCAACCTGGCATTTTACAAAAATTTTCTCATTCATCTTAAGAGTGACTGAAGATAGAAAGAGAGCATATTCAACTCCTATTTTCTTGGCTAAGGAGAAGTCTGTAAAAACACACATGTAAGAGAGTTGAAGCCCAACAAAACTAAGGAGAAAGTAAACTCCGAACAAGTTGTTTTCCTGGGCCAGACAAATTACTTCCTAGGACTTTCCGAGGATTTGTAGTGGAGGTTGCTGGACCAGTCTCGTTAGTCACTGAGGAGCTGTAGAGAAAGGAGAAGATGAACAGAATCCCAGAAACTTTGATGTCTTTGATTTTAACGTCAGATGAAATTCTACACTGATAATCAAATATTTGTTCTCTGAGAAAGGGAAGCATAATCTCCAGAATCCATCTTGAGTTCACTCAAGCAAGCATGGTGGTGACCTTGGTGGGATGTAAATAGATCACAATGGGATGTATAGATTCAGACATGGTGTACTTGGCAAAGTGTCTGTTGGGTTCCTTAGGAAAAAAGAATGATTTATAGGGGAAAGTATAATGGATGATCGTTTATTTATTTATTTATTTGTTTGTTTGTTTATTTATTTGTACAAGCACTGGGTACAGTCAGAAGCACGGGAGGGTGAGAGAATTCACCAGAGCCAGAGCAGGGAACAGAACAGGCAGACTGACGAAATACACTGCTGAGGGGAGCCGCAGGCGAGACAAGGGAGGTCTGTCGTGCCATCCCTCGCTGGTGGCCGGGGATCGAACCGGTGCTGCAGAGGCTGTGGGCAGCTTCGCAGCCCAGCGCTCAACCGCTGCGCCACCAGGGGAGGCCCCATGATAGTTTACTAATGTGGGGATTTCCATGGCTATTTCCTCAAAGTACTGGTTGTTGGTCTTAGGGTGCTAAAAAGGGATGTGTGCCTTAGCTACTTTGGGATAGACATTTTCATCAGTGTCTTGACTATGGCATGGAAGATAGCCTTATCAGATCAAATTTGTAGAAAATTGCTCTTGAAGGTCAGAGAGGCTGTTGGGAATGATCCAGTCAAGAGGACAGTAATTCAGAGGGGAGGGTCATTTTAGTAGTGAATCCCTTCATCTATACTGTGCTAATTTAAAATGAGAAATGTGTTCCTAAGCAAGGAAAGACTTAACACATTATGGCCTTTCCTTTTCAAAAAATGAAAGCTAGAAAAGAATAGGCACATACATAATGACATATAGGAGAAAAATAAAGACTTATTCAGCAAATTCTCTGATCCAAATTAAAAGAGAGCCAAAGCAGTTAGCTAACTTTCTTATAGGCATGCTAGATTTTTGTTTGTTATTGCAGTATTATCAGTTAATTAATTAATTCTCAAAGCTATTTGTAAATGTGCTGTCACTTTCTGAAATGTTTATTAAAAGTTAACACATTTTCTCTTTAATTTTTCCCTAGACTCTGAGATGAAAAGACTTTTCTCTCTTCTTTGAAGTTAATGAACAGGTGTGTGTATGTTATAGGAATTGTGTATAATGTGTGTCTATTAAGCACTGATTGCAGTTTGTGTGTATGCCCTTTGTGCTAGACCATGTGCTCCTGCTCTTTCTAGTACAGGGTCTTTCAAGCTTTTTGGGCTGAAACCCACAGCAAGAACTACATTTTGCTTAGCGATTCAGTGTACACACATACATATACTTTACACAGAGCTGAAACAGAAATTCACAAAATAATGCTTAATATCTGATACTTTCTCATGCTTTCTGGTTTTGATTCTATTCTATTTATCAATACCAGTGAAGATCCCCTCTAGTGATTTTTACCACTAACTGTTTTTAAAACTCTGCTCTGGCAGACCCTTAATACATATTTAAACACTGTAGTTGTGCCTGCTGTGGCTCCAGTGGTGTAATCGGTTGGCACGTGGTATATTTATAAAGCACTATAGTTGTTCCTTACTTCCAAGGAAAAACTGTTTGTATTATCATCTCATATTGCATCATCACAAGTGATGCCAAATCAAATACTTCTAGAAAACAGGGCATTTCTATTTTACAGATGGAGGGCTGTTACAGTTAGTGGTGAGTCATAGTTAGGAAACAGCTATAGAGTCTGGTTATTGGTCTGTGTCTCATATTTGTAATGGTTTGCCTAAAACTTGTCAGTTAGCTCATGTTTGCAAACTGGGAGAAAAAAATTGTCTGCAGAATCTTAGAGTTGCAGAATCTTAGTTGTTTACAGAATCTTAGAGAACTCAGTGGTTATAACTTCTTACTCAGTACAAGAGTCACTTCTATAGTATCCTCACAGTTGACCATTCAGCATCTGCTTGATTACCTCCAGAAACAGGGAGACCATGGCATTTGCTTGTCAGTTGTGTTTATTACCACACATTTAGTAGCTTAAGGCTAAACACATTTATTGTCTTACAGGTTTATAGTTCAGAAGTCTGAAATGGGATCTCATTGGGCTAAAATCAAGGTGTTGGCAGGTCTGCATTTCTTTTGAAGGTTGTAGGAGAGAATCTAGTTCATGTTTTTTCTAGCTTCTAGAAACTGCCAGCTTTCCTTTGTCTCATTCTAACTTCAAATCCAGCAATGGTCAGTTGAGTTTTTGTCACATCTTATCAGTCTGACTCTTAAATCTTTCGCTTCTTTCTTCCACTTTTTAAAGTATTCTTGTGATTTCATTGGGTCTACGCAGATAATCTAGGATAATTTTAAAGTCAGGTGATTGACAGCCTGATCTCCCTTTCCAGGTAAGGTAACATGTTCATAGGTTTTAAAGATTGGGATGTGGGCATTTTAGGTGCTTTGTTACTGTGCCTTCCATACTTACTGTCTTCCAAGCTAGCCTATGGTAACCACTGGTTCTAATTTTAGAGAGCACACATGTTGACTTAGGACAACTACTTTAATTCATATGTCAGGCCAATTTTTAGATGTAGAACAAGGAAACCTGGAGATTTTCAGCTTTGAGAAAACCAGCAGTATTGAATGCTGAGACTGAGAGAATATCTTGGTTAAAAAACAAATTCATAGGGAGTGAGAGCTCTGACTCTGACATGTGCATTTAGTAGAGAGAGATGTTTACTTGGTGTTTGGCAGAAAGGGGGGAAACTATGAATCTTGAACAGAGGGCTCAGAAGAACCTGTAAGATGTTAGGTTGCTTACTATCTTAATTGCACTATTTTGCTTGATTGAGGTTGGGAAAAGATATTTAAGATGATTGCTACCAGTCCAGAGATTTGGTTGGTTGTGAGTGAATTTTAGAGCATTCTTTGGCAGTTCTGATTCTATTAGAGATTCTGATATGCTGAGCCATGTGACTGGGTCTGCTGTCTGTGACTCTCAGCTGCTGAGGAGAAATAAGTAAACAAAGTAACATTTAATAAAATTGTTAGAAAAAATGAAACACCATAACTTCCAGGTGATTTACTGCTTCATTCTGTTAACACTGACATTATAACAGTTGTAACCCTTCAAGGGAGTCTATTATGGGAATGCCCTCATTTTGGAGTGATTACAATTTAATTATAGGCTGAAACAGATAAACTAAGGAATGATATGAGTATTAACAACAGTTTCTATACTAAGTTCCTTGTTTGCACTTAAAAAATTATTAAGCAAATCAATTCAGACACAGTTTTCAAATTAACGTTCTTTGTGAAAGGCGAAATAAACAATTTCTAACAAGAGGATTTTTATTTTCCTTTGGTGTATACTTTGTTCAGTTAAAAACAAAATATCTCTTCTTGCATGGGCAAAAAGACACCATTTATTACTTATTAATGAAAATATCCATTTTCCAAATGTCACTTTCCCTACTGTATAGAATAAATGTTGGCTAACAACATGTGGCAGCCATGGAGGTATGCCGCTTAGCTCTCTCTTCCAGAGAACCTGCTGTGAGAGAGTAGTTGGTCTTTTACCAACAACCAACATGTAAATGAGCCATTTGGAAGCAGATCCTCTAGTTCTAGCCAGTCCTCCAAAGATGCTGCCCTGGGTGATACTAACAGCAACCTCATGAGAAATTTTGAGCCATAACCATCAGCTAAGGTATTTTTTAAATTCCCAGTCCACAGAAACTGTGCTTTCAACAACTTATTTTGGGGTTAATTTACTGGCTAGCAATGGATAACTAACGCAGGTGGACTTATCAACAATGATCTTGAAGCTAGACAATAAAAGTCAACCTAGAATAGGAAGAGTGAAAAGAGTGGAAAAATAAAAGTGAGCACATGTGAGCTCTATATGGCAAATATCATATACAAGCAGTTGGATTCAGAAGGAAAAGAGAGATAAAAAGGTGCAGAAAAAATATGCTTAAAAATTATCTAATTAATGAAAAAATTATCTAAAATTAATGAAAAAATACCCCATAGATCCAAGAAGTTTAGAGAACTCCAAGCAGGAGATATGTGTGTGTGTGTGTGTGTGTGTGTGTGTATGTATAAACATACCTATATGTATATATATGTATATGCATATGTATGTATGTATAAACACACCTAGGCATATATAGAAATCAAACTGTTGAGAACCAAAGACAAGAAGACAATCCTTAGGGAATACAGAGAAAACAGAACTATTAAAGAAGAATTGCGGTGCTAATGGTATCAGATGTCTTGTAAACTATCTGATCCAGAAGCAGTGGAATAACATCTTTAACATGGTGAAAGGAAAAATAAAAAAAACTGTCAACCTGAATATTTTACCTAGGCAAAATATCTTTCAAAAATAAAGATAAAATAAAAGATATTTTCGAACAAACAAAAACTGAGAAAAACTCATTGCCAACAGACCAGGAATATAAAGAAATTTAAAGGAGTTTCATCAGGCAGATGGAAAATGATGACAGATGGAAATTTGGATCTACACAGAGGAATGAAGAGTGCTAGAAATGGTAAAAATGTGGGTAAATAAAAACTGACATTTCTCTGTAATTTTTGATCTCCTTAAACAATAATTGGCTGTCTAAAGAAAATTAAGTGTATTGTTGGTTTTATAGCATATGTAGAAGTAAAATATGTGACATCAACATCATGAATGTCAGGAGGTTGCAAATGGAATTATATGGAACCTTATGACAAGTGGAATAATATGATTTGGACGATAGCATAGTGATATTAATGATATATAGTGTATACTCTGGAGCAATAACAAAAAATAACTGAAGAGATATAGTTAATAACCAAATTTTATTTTAACCAAATTTTAAAGGTAAAATAGAATCATAAGAATTCTCAATAGAAAACAGATAAGGGGGGGGAATGGCATTAATGGAACAAGTAATCAGTGAGCTATAGGTATATATTGTATGTATACAGCATATTGATGATTATATTTATTTATTTAAATTTTATTTCCTTTTTTATTTTTTAATTAATTAATTAATTTTTTTAATAGAGGCATGTTTTTTATTTATTTATTTATTTGTTTGTTTGCTTGTTTGTTTTGTTTATACATGCACTGGGTATAGTCAGAAGCGCGGGAGGGTGAGAGAATTCACCAGAGCCAGAGGGGAGAACAGAGCAGACAGACTGATGAAGTACACTGCTGAGGGGAGCAGCGGGCGGCAGGAGAGGTCTGCGCGCCATGTGGGACCCTCCTCTGGTGGCCGGGGAGCAGCCGGGGATCGAACCGGAGCCGCAGAGGCCGTGGGCAGCTTCGCAACCCAGCGCTCAACCGCTGCGCCACCGGGGAGGCCCTGAGATTATATTTAAAGTAAATAAATGAAATATTCATCTTAAAGGACATAGCTTGTTAGATTGAATAAAAAAAGCTCATATGCTTTTTATAGGAAACCCACTTTAAATATAAAGATTAAGACAAGTTTATAAAAATAATCTGCTCAAACACTCAGCAAAAGAAAACTGGAGTTGCTATTATATCAAAGTTTATTCCAGATTAAGAAATATTACATGGAATAAAGACTGACATTACATAAAAGCTTCAATCATCAAAAGACATACTTTTATTTTTTTATATTAATTTTTTTATTTTTTACATCATTGTTCATTTTTAAACATTTGCTTCCCCCCCAACCCCTCAGGTGTAGTCCCGATAGAATTTCCTTCACCAATGCACCTGTGCACCATCACCTCAGTCCCCTGTGCTCCTCCCTCCCTCTGATCCCTCTTCCTTCTCCTCCCCTGCAGGATGAAAAGACATATTTTAAATATACTTTCATTTAGTAATAGAACTTAAGAATATACTAAGGAAAAACTGATAAAATTGAAATTGATAAATTCTCAATTATAGCTGGATATTTTCAACACTTCTATCTCAAAAATGAGTAGAAAAAATAGACAAAAATCAATAAGACAGAAGATTTCAGTAGCATTATCAATTACCATTTATAGAACTAGTGTCCAGTGGTACGCATTAGTATTTTTCAAGTACCCATGGATGTTCATCAAGGTTGACCATATTATGGGCAACAACAACAAAAATCTCAATAAATGTAAGAGACTTAAAGTCACCAAGTATATTCTTTGTTCAGAAAGGAATTAAACTAAACACCAATATGATAAAGATATCTCACCCACTCAGAATGCTTTTATTGTTTTGTAGGCAAAAGCTGAAAAGGTGTAGAGTAGCGTGTACTTGAACCTTTTAATACTGTGTATACAGAAGTGGATCACCTCTTGAATGGCAAAAGGACATTCCCCAGTTGTTCGAGCGAGGTGGGAATCACTACTAGGGTAGAGGTGGATGTCCTTTAGTTAGGAGGGGCAATAAGAGTCTTACCTTGGTGCCCTATTATTTGCCCATATTTCTGCTTGCCCATATTTCTGCTTCCTGTTTGAACTCACTAAGATGACTTATGCATGATTCATGGACTGATGGGACCAAGTCAGCCCTTGGGATTAGCAAAGGACATTGGGTTCCTTTTAGGACGCCATCAAGGGGGAGGCCAGTGACATTCCTGGCTCAGGAGGCCATTCTGTTCCCCTTCCCCTCTCCTCTGTTGGTAGACTCTCTTTGAGCTAATTCTACTCTGCTATTGACCCTTCCCTTGGAAAGAACAACAACAGATTAATTTTTAATCAGTTGTCTGATGTTCCTTTTAATTATAATGTGTGTAAAGATGAGCAAGGTAAAGTAAAATTTAATAACTTCATTTCAAGGAAAGTGGGCAAAAGAACTGTCCAAAATTTTAATCTATATATAATAATGGTATAGTTATAAACAGTTGTAGAAAGTGCCAGGGAATGTTGTACATTTACTCCATCTTTTTTTTTTAAAGATTTGTTTATTTATACAAGAACTGGGGTACAGGCCAGATGTGCAGGAGGGTGAGAAGATTCACCAGAGACAGAGTGGGGAACAGAACAGGCAGACTGACCGAAGTACACTGCTGAGGGGAGCAGCGGGCGAGACAGGAGAGGTCTGCTACATCATGTGGGTGTCTCGCCGGCTGGCTGGGATCGAACCCACGCAGCAGAGGCTGTGGACAGATTCACAGCGCTGCGCTCAATCGCCTGTGCCACCAGGGAGGCCCCGTTTACTCCATCTTTATTCTTCAGAGCACTCTGTGGTAGTTATTATACAGTTGGGGACACTGAGTCAGAGAGCTAGTAAGTAGTACTATGGGCTATGATTCATACCCAGAGAGTTTGGCTCCAAATTTTGCCCTACTCACCATGCTATACTATGTCTTACTGCAGCAGGAAAAATGGGAATAATGGAGCAGAACCATGCCAGAGCCCAGAAAACAAAACTTGGAGATCCCTTTTAGCTAACAAGTAAGTTATTTGCAACATATTTAGTAGATGGTAGATGACTCATGCTTTCAATGCCTTATGTAAGGTTACTAAGTTACATTTGGTTTATTTTCAGGTATCTTCAAGAAATCTTAGCAACAGCAACCAGGGATGGTTTAGCATCACTTTTCTATTATCTTTGTGATATAATACCATGAGGCAAATACAAAAAGTTCCTCTGGTAGAATGTCACAGGAAAGAGCTTTCTCATTGTTCTTGTTACAAATTCTAAAGTCATACTCTCTGGCCTCCCCCAAGTTGTTTTGACTCCCTGTGTTTTACATAAGTTTTGATTCATGGCTTTTTTTTTTTTTTTTTTTTTTTATAGAGGCATGTTTTTATTTATTTATTATATTTGTTTGTTTGTTTTGTTTATACATGCACTGGGTACAGTCAGAAGCGCGGGAGGGTGAGAGAACTCACCAGAGCCAGAGCGGGGAGCAGAACAGGCAGAAGGACCGAAGCACACTGCTGAGGGGAGCAGCGGGCGGCAGGAGAGGTCTGCGCACCATTGATTCATGGCTTTTTGAGGGTCCTTAATTGTGATAGATTTGTCTTTGGTGCAGCTTTTACTTTCTAGCACTTATCTTATGTGGATACCTCTTGAGGATCTTTTCCATGCTGAATGTGATCCTTGGAATTGATGACATGCAGGTGTGTGACCACGTCTTCACTTGGTCACAGGAGCCTCAGGGAGCTTTAGGAATGGCCCTTGCCTGAGTGTTGGGCAGCAGAGGCCCCACTCAGTTCATGCTTCTGTGCTCCTCACTGGTTCTTGTGAAGGAGCCATGCAGATAATTGACTTACCGACATCACTTGCTCGTCCTTGACAAACCTCGCTTCTACCCTGCCCCCAAACTGCTTGCTTTGCCAATTGAATTTTATTAATGCAACTTGATAGAATAATAAAGTGGAAGCAGTAGCTTGCTACATGGCTAGAATGCAGTTTCCCTGTAGAGAAAGTAGTGTGGAATGTGATATTGCTGTAATTCAGAGGTTCATGGACAGATAGCTAGTGCAGGGAAGAATTATGTAAGAGGCTGAATAACCTTGAGTTATTCTTACTGTGAAAAATACCGTTGCATCTTTCCTTACCTGGGTTTCAGTTTATCTGCTGGACAAGGAGGACTTCTAAGGGCTCCCAATAATAAAAGACCAAATCAAACATTTCCCTTCTTTCCCCTCTCTCTTGTTCCCCACGCCCCCCTCTGTCACCCCCCACCCTGGCCATATGGGTTGTCATACTCCCAATGAGCTTGTAAAGAGCACACTAACTTCCTACAGCAGGTCCCGGGCAAGCTTGGCATCTTGTACACTGATGACTATTTGGGATGTGTGCTCAGTGCATTGGATCTTTCTAGAGCAGGCTGTGTGTGGGAGAAGTATTAGGAGAAGGCAGAAGGTTTGCCTTTTCAAATACACTGCAATGTGAAATGGTTCTTAGTACACCAAAGGTTATATTATAGATTAATGGTTAGAAAGGATCCTGAATAAAGATTCTAGGTCTTGACCTTGATGTTCATGATCAGTACTAGGGGCTGGGCAAGATTTTACTTTGCTTCATAAATCAGCATGTAACATTGTGTGTGGGGGGGTGGGTATGTATGTATCTTTCATTGTAGTGATTAATTTCACTTCCCTGAATGAAGATTTTTTTTTTTGGGCCAGCGCCAGAGTCTGAGTTAGGGAGAATGGGGAGCTTTCCTCCTTCCTGCCATTTTCTCTTGCATCTTGTTATATGTGTTTTTTCTACTGGGCAGACCTCTCTAGAGTTCCCCAGCTCTAAAATAATTTACTGGAGAGCAAGAACTGGACTGCTAAGCAGTGTAAATAGTAAGACTTTTAGTAGCTAATGTGAGATTTCCTTTCTGTTGCTAATAATTTCTTGGTGAGGAGGAAGGATAGTTGTGATTCTGGGGTTATGCTTAGTTTAGAGTTGGTAAGAATGTCAACTCTTATGATCCTGCTACCAATGTAATTTTCATTATTTTGGCAGCAAATAATGTTTATCAAAGGAGAGTCACTTAGAAGAATGGGTTATCTTTGAAGACAATACTTCTGTTTATCAATACACAATAAATTAAGATGTGCAATTTCATTCTCCATTTCAGTAAGTATGGAGGATGGAAGGAAGATAATCTTCTCCTTTTAATTGTCTGCTTTGGGTGCATTTTAAGCAATTTTGTAAGGCAAAATTTACCACTTAGTTACCAATAAGTTTGCATAAGCAAAAATTTACTTTTAAGCTTTTTTATTGTAAAATATAAAGTCTACATAGCATCTACAGTTAAATAAAAATTTAAGAAGTGACAATCAATAAGAAATGAATACTTGTATCATTGCCTGAAATAGGACATTGTCAGCACCTTAGAAACTTGAAGTGTGCTGTGCCCTTCCAGAATAACCATCACCCTGAGTCTGGAAAGTCAGGTCATTTATCTGTTTCACATTGTAGTTTTATCACTTGTGCTGGGCATATTAAAAAAGTGTATCCCAGAAGGGTTTTTATTAATATCATTGTGTTTTTGTTCATCTAGTTTTTCTTGAAGCAGCGGTAGCCTGGGAGACTTGAGACATCATCATCATCATCATCATCATCATCATCATTATTATTTTTCCAACCCAATCTAGTTTTGTCATTTATAAAGTCTATGTATCTATTCTATGTGGAAGAAAATGAAAGATTTGAAGAGGCTAAATGGTTTCATGGTTTTTTTTTTAAGGGTAAGATGAAATTTTTTAAAAAGATTTAGTTGCTTATGCATACAAGAACTGGGGTACAGGCCAGAGGTGCAGGGGTGATGGTGAGAGGATTCACCAGAGACAGAGCGGGGAGCAGAACAGGTGGATTGAATGAAATACACTGCTGAGGGGAGCAGCAGGCGAGGCAGGAGAGGTCTGCTGCACCATGTGAGTCACCACCCTGGCCAGGGATTGAACTTGTGCTGCGAAGTGCTGTGCTTAACCCCTTGTGCCACCAGCGAGGCCACAAGATGAAATTTTTAATGAAACTCCAATATAAAAACAAATTAGTCTTTATTTTATAACTTAAGATTTGTAAAATTTACTCATTACAAAGTCAATAAATAAGAATAAATGGTGGCAGGAGAACTACAGGGACTATACCTGAAGGGAGAAATCAAATACTGTACAAAAGTGAACAACGATGTAAGAAAATAAATTAATAAACTTAGTAATAAAGAGAACACATTCGCACATTGGCCGTAGTCAGTGTGTTAAACTCTGTAGTCTAGAGTTCCTCTATTTTGAGTATAATCTTATCTTAAAGATGTATGAAAGTTGAATGTGCAAACCCAATGAGCACAAGAGAAGATACTCGACATTGCTAGTTATTAAGGAGATGCAAATTAAAGCCATAATGAGATATACCCGACAGGTCGACTATAGTAAAAAAGTATACAGTATACTGTATATACAAAAAAAAGTATATTGTATTTACAAAGTATATATAGTACTGATGCTGTAAGGGGCAGGACCGGACACAATGCAGGTTTTCTGATCCCATGCAGATCGGGTAAAGGAGGAGTCAGAGTCCTCAGTAGTTTTGCAGGTTTTTTATTTGGGGTTCACCAGGCATATGGCAGGCAGGGGTGCTGGCTGGGGGGCTGGGAGGCTGGCAGGCCTCCCAGCCCCCAGCAAGTCCTCACTCTATCTGGGCTCTCTAGCGTTCGTTCTGCTGCTTCTCCGCTTCGGCTGCGGCTGCTGCTGGTGCTGGTGCTGGTGCTGCTGGCGTCCCCCCGTGACGCCGCCCTTAAAAGCACAGTCTTAGCTCAGCTGAATCCCATCTACCTATGCCCACACCCTATTCCAGGTGCCCACCATCAGGCATGCATTCAGGACAAGGATCCATCATCTATCCTGATGGCGGAAGGGCAGAAAAGCCTGATATTTTCTTTACCCTACAGTCCACCCCCTCAGGGTTTTCTGCCATACAGTCTATACATATATACACAATTTTCTAAGCAAACAAACAATGCAGCCATGGCCCACAAAAGCAAATACATCAAATAACAAAATACAACATAACAAAATACAACAGAACACAAATAAGTCCAGGCAGGGCACCAACCAAGTGCAAAAGACAATTATTGGTACCAGCAGATGAGCCACCAAATCTGCTGCCGAAGGCACTGCTCATACGAGGGAGGGGAAATCACACACGGCATCTGCTATAACACACCAGGAGCCGTCAGGCTTCCTGGCCTTCTCTGGCTGTAGTCTCTGCTACAAGGCACACACAGCATCCACCCCCAGGATGCACTAGCTCTGGGATTGGCAATTTTATTCTGTTGGGGGTAATCGCCAACCCTCAGGGTTTCTGTCTGCAGTCGCTCCAACACTCGGCCTTCATGGCCACCCATGCGACTCACAGACCCCTGCACTCAAGCCAACCCACTGCACAAGCACATGGGTTGGGGATCCAAACTTTGCATTTGGCTTGGGCTCCACCCCAAGCCACATTCCCCACCCGTCCCCCAAGGACGGGCTCCTCAGCTCCTCACCCTCACTCAAGAATGAGCAGGGCATCACCCATAGGTGATTTTACGAGACTCACAGGGCTTCAGCATACCCAGGCTGCTTAACAGCCGCTTTAGGGCTTCTCAACTTAGCATCAGTACCAGCTTTTGCCACCTTAGTTGGCTTTTCTCCTCCACCTGGCCACTGGGCATACACAGGCTGCTTTTGGCCATCTAGGCCCACTGGCCACCCCCAGATTCTCAAAAAATAAACATAACCTGCTAAGGTCCTCCGCCTTCTGGCGGGATTGTCAGTCCAAAATCATCAGTTCATCAGTCTATCAGTCCATTGGCCTCTCCCTGCTTCAGCAATGGCCTGCTGCCTCAGGGGTCATTGGCTGGTCCTTTCCGGTGTCGTTGGCTGGTCCTATCCGGTGTCGTTGGCTGGTCCTTTCCGGTGTCTTTGGCTGGTCCTTTCGGGCGTCTCCTTCACGCCAGGTCTCATCCTGTAGCTCGTGGACGTATCCATCTTCTATACCGCCATGGTGCCTCCAGCGTCGTCACAGGCAAAGTCTGTTCTCCTTAGTCCCTCCAGGTCTTCGGAGGGCTCCAATACCCGTCTGCATGGATCTTGCCGACATACGCCAATTGTAAGGGGCAGGACCGGACACAATGCAGGTTTTCTGATCCCATGCAGATCGGGTAAAGGAGGAGTCAGAGTCCTCAGTAGTTTTGCAGGTTTTTTATTTGGGGTTCACCAGGCATATGGCAGGCAGGGGTGCTGGCTGGGGGGCTGGGAGGCTGGCAGGCCTCCCAGCCCCCAGCAAGTCCTCACTCTATCTGGGCTCTCTAGCGTTCGTTCTGCTGCTTCTCCGCTTCGGCTGCGGCTGCTGCTGGTGCTGGTGCTGGTGCTGCTGGCGTCCCCCCGTGACGCCGCCCTTAAAAGCACAGTCTTAGCTCAGCTGAATCCCATCTACCTATGCCCACACCCTATTCCAGGTGCCCGCCATCAGGCATGCATTCAGGACAAGGATCCATCATCTATCCTGATGGCGGAAGGGCAGAAAAGCCTGATATTTTCTTTACCCTACAGATGCCCATTCTGAGGGGATCTGAAACACCTCAGCACATTTATTTACCCACAGTTTAGTTGATGTTCTCCTTATAGCATAGGAAGACGAAGGAGGCTGTTAGAGATGATCTTGTTGAATTTTCTTATTTCCAAAACAAAAAATGTATTATTGAAGTAGTAAATTAGGCATTTCTAGTTGGTGGAATTTCTTGGTATAGTCTATAAGGTAATTTTAGGGATTTGGAAAGACTGTGAAAACTTGTGGTATTTCTGAATTCACCCCATATTTGTTCCTATGAAAGTAGGTTAATTACTCTAAGGTGACTTTGAATTACTATTGGTAAGTTGCCTCACCTGGGACCATAGGCTATCTCTAGATTATCTTCATAAGATCATCTATAATACTGGGACTTATTTTTACCTCCCAGCCTCCCCTGTCTCCTGTATGCAGAAATGGATTAAGCTCTGCCTCTTCTTAGTTAGTAGCCACAGGTTAATGAGAAGTATATTTCTGCATTTTATATTCTTGTGGAAATATATTTCTACTTTTTTCTTATTGATAGACACTGAGATTGGTTCCTTATTAAAAAATGTCTTCTTACTAAACAATTTTGCAATGCACAATCTTGTGCATGTATCTGTGAGAAATATTTTACAGATGTAGTTAGGAATGGGGTTGCTGAGTAATAAAATATGAACATATTTTATTTCATTTTATTAACTGAGTGTACTTTCCAGGATTTCTAGTATCATGGTGAATAAAACTGTGTTGGTGGGTGTCTCTATCTGTAGAGGACAGGACAGGACACAGTGCAGGTTTTCTGATCCCATGCAGACCGGGTAAAGGAGGAGTCAGAGTCCTCAGTGGTTTTGCAGGTCTTTATTGGGGTTCAGCGGGTATGTGGCAGGCAGGGGTGCTGGGGGGCTGGGAGGCTGGCAGTCCTCCCAGCCCACAGCACATCTTCACTCTATCTGGGCTCTCTGGCGTTCTCTGCTTCTGCTTCGGCTTCGGCTTCTCCTTCAGCTTCTGCTTCGGCTTCTACTGCTGCTGCTGCTGCTGGCGTCCTCGTGACGCCGCCCTTAAAAAGCACAGTCTTTGCTCAGCTGAATCCCATCTACCTATGCCCACACCCTATTCCAGGTGCCCGCCATCAGGCATGCATTCAGGACAAGGATCCATCATCTATCCTGATGGCGGGAGGGCAGAAAAGCCTGACATTTTCTTTACCCTACACCCTATCCATTCCAGACTTAGGGGGAGAAGGTTCTAATGTTTCATCATTAATTAATATTTTTGCTGTAAGTTTTTGATTGAATCTCTTTGTCAAGTAAAGGAAATTCTCTTTACTCTGTGTTTGGTGATTATTTTAAATTAAACTATGATTGGTGGTTGAATTTTATCAAATGCCTTTTTAGCCAGCTTTGTGGTTTTTTTTTTAAAGATTTTATTTATTTATGCATACAAGAACTGGGGTATAGGCCGGAGGTGTGGGGGGTGAGAGGATTCACCAGAGACAGAGTGGGGAACAAAACAGGCAGAATGACTGAAATACACTGCTGAGGGGAGCAGCAGGCAAGTCAGGAGAGGTCTGCTGCACCATGTGGGTAGCTCCCTGTCTGGGGATTGAACTCTTGATGCAGTGACTGTAGATAGTTTCATAGGTTGCGTCGCTTTCTGAGCAATCCCAGCCCGAGTTGCAATGGCTGACTCGCTGGGTTCTGTTCTCAAGTCTTTGGGCATGTAGGGTGGCTCCAGCCCCCTCCAGGGGAGGGGTGCACACTTGTCTTCTTTTTCTTCACTCTTGGGCATATGGACAGTTAATGAGTTATTTGTAGGAAACCAAAGTGCTAGAATATCTTATTCATGGACAGAAGAGGAAATGCTGTATTATTTTGTAATAGTTTATGCCTTATTGTTATGTTTTCTCTTAAATAAAGTCAAACATGGTTGGAACTTGGAGCTACGAATTAAGAAAATGTCTTTGTATTCTATTCATTGTAGGTAAATGTAGGGTAAGGTAAAAGTAGCAGGCTTTTCTGCCCTCCCGCCATTAGTATAGATTAGGGAACCCTGCAGTCCTTAAAGCATGCCTGATGGCGGGCACCTGAAGTGGGTACACCTGGGCTGAGAAACTGAGCTTATAAGGACGGCGTC